ATTCTCGCCCTCCACCACCTACAAACTTCGCACTATTCCGCCAGATGTGCCTAGTGTTGTGTACATGTGGTGGTGGTGATTCAATTTGGGTTGGACTCCACGTCGACCATCAGTGGGTGTATGGAAGGTACGTTCGTCGGGTCGCATTGTCAGCCGACGACAAACATCGCTTTCTCAAGGAGATGACTTCCTGCTCTGCCAAGAGCAGTTACGAATTCAGCTGTGGCAGGCCATGTGTTATACGTTGGATGCTTTGCGGCAGCTTGCAGTCAACGGCATACCTCCACGCGACACACGTGGCGGCGAAGACGAAGCCACTTTCCAAGAACGTTTCAAGGCTGCCTGAAACGGAGCAGCTCAGCCTACTTTGGACGACACTGACAATACGTTCGGCATAAATGCATGTGTCAAAGCGGTCTGTACCTACAACGCTATTGAAAAGCAGAAAAGCTTCATGCGACGAAAGATGCGTAAGCCTAGAGAAATGACAACTCGCGCCTAAATCAACAACCTCACTCGGATGAACACCGATGAACTTCCTCGTCTTCCACCTTTTGGACCCAACAAAACATTGAACCATGACGAACTCCTTGGACTTGTTTTGTCTTGGAATTCCACGCTCGTGATGAAGAAGATGGACGGACACGACTTCGATCCTTTCGCAGCTCTTATCGGGGGAAGTGTGGTGTAACGCATGGATCTCCGAAGACTTCGACGAAGGGCTGTGTCAAGCAAGCTACTACGAATGAAGCACACAGCAGAAGTACAAGTCAACTCGCAACAACGAAAACTCTTCAAAGAACGAAGAGAAATGGTGTGACTACCACAAGTCCAGCACTAACAACACAGCTGACTGCATGACACTGAAGCAGCTCGGATGTGGTTTCTTCACGATACAAGGTGCTGGACTTGACGCAAGTCGCGACGCCATTCCTACACCAAGAAGTAACTCTCTGTTCTCATGAATAAAGTTTCCAACGCTGCTTTCAAGGCTGATCGCAAGAATAAAAGCGAAGGCAACCATGTTGCCAAGCGCAAGTCTGACAACTGCGACAACGAGTGTGTGTGTGTCCTCTGTTGGGATTCCATCAAGGCTGGACAGAATGGCTCGCTGTCGACAAGGCGCTTGTCGAATTCGATTTCAATCATTCGGATGGAGGGATCTCCGTCTGAGGGTTAGGCCAGAATGATGATTCAACGGAACATGTTCCGATTTCTCATACCTAAGTTATTAAGATATCTCACTAAATATGAAACAAGATTTGTTTGCAACTAACGAAGTCTACGGCAAATAAGACAATTGCCTAGTAACTACTAAACTAGACACTGACGCTCTGTTCAGCATCGTTACTTCGTCCATGGCCAATCAACTCATCAACGTCGCACGACAAGAGACCTCGAAAACTATCGTCTATGTTGATTTTAACAGACTAGCGAAAGGGAAACGAAACACCGTTACACTCTGTTGCCTACTGGATACAGAAGCCATCTGGAACTTTGATTGCTCAAGCTCATTCTAGAGTTTACTCATGAAGAAACAAGGGGGCGTCCAAACACTAAGGACTGCTTCTACGAAGGAACTGAAACCCCGCACGAAGTTTAAGGGACATCGCGATTCCTGAGTTTCCACGATGATATTTGGCAGTGGTATTTACACGTCAACAAGAAATTGGGGGCGCAAGAAGTGATCATAAGTCAAGACACTCTCTGCGACCTAAGAATCAGGTTTGATTTCACTACCATGTTCCTGTGGGGTGCGACATGCATTCTTTCCGGCTCGAAGAGAGCATACCAATGAAAGGGACTTCTCCTTTCTGATTCTGCAGTGTCAGCGACATGCGATAGTCTCAGAGATTCTTGCAGACGTATGAAACAATAGCACTTAAGGCGAAACGCCAGAGTCGAATCCGTTAAACAAAGGAGGGCAAGACTGCCTCTACTTTTCAACCCAGTGCTTCGACCCAGTCGAGGATAATTGGGGAGAGTTGCGAATGGACGACTACGAGGTAGAAATTCGTCCCGACGTTTAAATCCTATTACACTATGGCTCACCCTACTCCACGGTCCAAACCAACACTCTTAAAAGAGGTTGAACGTCTCTGCGAGAGGCAGCACTCAAGAAGGTGAACCGTTACGAGTGGGCGGAACCAACCTTCATCATTCCCAAAGAAAAGACGGATCTGTACGATCATCTCTGATTTCGGGAAGCGAACAAAAGGATCAAGCGGAAGCTTATCCTATCCCAAAATCCAGGACATGCTCTTGACCTAGATGGATTCAAGTGGTACTAGTCTAGACCTGAAACGGGATACATACCACATCGAGCTGTCACCATCACTCGAATCAACCTTACCATGTCCTCCTGAGGAAGCACGAGTACCAGAGGTTGCAGATGGCCTATGTAATAGTCCCGGACATCTTCCAAAGAAGATATAAACACGCATGCATGACGTGAAATGTCGTCATACGTTGATGATCCAACTCATCCTAAAGGACATCGATCTCGCAGATCGCTTGACAGTAGGATGACCTTCCACAAGACTCCAAGAAGTCGGGCTTGAAATCAACACTACCAAGGCCTTCCTCGATAGGAAGAACTGGAGCATCTAGACAATGGACTATACTGAGAAGGAACCAACCCTTAACCAAAAGATAAAGAGCGACCACTATCGCTCTCCTACAACAGAAGGAACTCGTAGATTCATTGCCAATGAACTACAAGGGATGCCCCAAGACAGAAGACGGAGTAACCTCGTTCTGAAACAGACGTGTTACCAGTATCCATGACGGTGTCATGGACAGAGAACTAGTCCCGCAGAGATCGAGAAGACTCTCGGTGAACATGACTTCGTCGCAAGTTCAGCGCGCGTCAATCGTGACAAGCTTCACACATCCGTTTCAGAGAAACCGGATATACATCAAGGAACGTCGCCAAGCAATTATTCAGAAAACACCGATAAGGAGAACACGGCACGTGTCCCTCTCAACACCATGTCAACGAACTATGATTTCATCAGTATCAAACAGTACGGTTAGCCAACGCACAAGGTCCTTACCACACAGACGATCAATAACAATGGCACTAACGCTCCGACTACTACCGCAATAGCGGCACAGTCTACCAACTTGGAACTAAGGTATTTACACCCATACAGGCCTGATCCCCTTGTAGGATTTCCATCGGCCGACGCACATGTCTACATCCAATCTCCGGAGAGTGCCCCGCACTTTAATTCATATGTTCTCTTGTCCGACTGATGTCGTGCCTTCTGTGAGCCCTTGTCAGGGGGCGAATGCAATACACGCTCTTAGCCTTATTCGCGACTCGATCCTAGATAGGTTTGGTTCGACCATGACTAGTCCTTGCGAATAGTCATTGGAAAGAATTCTCAATGACCGCTCTAGTCATACTAGGTTGATGATGAAACATCGCTCTAGATATTTAGCAGCGTGGAGTACTTCCCGCACTAGATAAATGCAGACGATCTTCACACGCGTTCCGTTTTGGATCGTGGAACGAGTAGGATTGCTACCGCAACCTACTCTATCTCACTCTACAGTCTCCCGCGGGAGTTCAGATCTACGATCCTTTGATTGTGGATCTCTCTCGTTGATTAGTTTTCATAGCTTTCTAATCCTCTCATAACTTTCATTCTCTCAAACTCAAAACACTCGAAAGATCTTTACACTAGCTTTTAGCGTAGTGCAGTGGAGTTGCTTCTGAATATTCCACCATCTTCATTGAGAAGCTCCGTATGTTTCTCATGGAGATCACCTCCAATGAATACAAATGGCGTGTGATCTGCAGGAAGATGAAGTGGTCCCGGTTTGAGTTCCATCGTCGCAAGATCGCGTTTGATGCTGAGTATCCATGGGAAGGATTCACTTGTCTCCCTCTGGCCCGCCTTACTAATGCTGACATTGCGAGTCGTTGCAGCAACGATCACCGGCTGGGTTATCTTTGTCGCACCCCTGACAACTATTTGAATAACCTCATTCTTCGCTCTGGCATGGTGTACAATTGGTTGGCCGATCCTCCTTCTGAAGGTGACTCAGCCTTAGATGATCATGCTAGCTCTGACGATGAGATCAAACAGGCAGCAGTGGAACAGCCCAGCAGCAGCGACAATGATGCAGATGAGGACGATGACTTGGATGAAGACAACAAAGAGGAAGACGACGAGGAAGAGGAAGATCGAAAGCCAGCTGCAAAGCCTTCTGTTTCCACACCACGAAGTGGCCAAATGACTCCAAAGAAGCGAGCAACTCCTTCCCGTTCCGTGGGTTCTGCGAAGCGTCAACAATTGTCTCAGCAGCTGCCTCCATTGTCAACAGGTACCAGGGGCAGTGGTGCATTGTCAACAGGTACCAGGGGCAGTGGTACCGGTGATGATCCAGTCATGATCGATGGGGAACATCCAGTTGCCAAGCTTCCACCTGTGCAGGTTCGCAAAACCAGCAACAGCCTTTTCACTAGCCCTGATGGCCATTCTTCATTGTCAGCTTCCAGTTGTGGAACTCCTTTTGATCTTGAGCATGAGCAATCCCCCAAGTTCAAGTTCCAATACTCCTCTGGCTCGTCGTCTACTGGGACTTCCAAGGCTGGTGTTCAGCGTTCCTTGATGATGACCACCACACTCACCCACAACTCAAGCGATGACGATGACGAGTCGTAAAGAACTCAAGCGATGACAATGACGAGTAGTGAAAGAGTGTTCCGGAGTTCCTGCACTGTGATTTGATGTCGTTGGATTGAATCCGATGAGTCAGCGATTCTCTGTTTCGTCAGCGAACTCTTCAAAGTCTGGATTGGAAGGTGGAAGATGGTGGGAAGATCGCGAGTACGCTTTAACATGTTTGGTGTTTAGGTGTTCTTCTGTGTTCTTGGATCGAGCGAGTGGAACTTATCTGTACCGCTGGTATATATATACCCATCATCAATATCTATATAACCAATCAACTATATGTGACTTGCCATTATCCCATTATGCTCTTCTGAGCTGCCCCTGACCCGACCAAAAGCTATGCATATCATAGTAGAAAGATCCAAAGATCCACCTCTTCGCTCCAGCCCGCAGCCTTCATCATCCTGCAACAAAGAGATAACGATATTGGAACCAATCTCTGTGTCGAGCTGCCAATGAGCCAAAAATTGTCGATGTTGTTTGATGATGCGGCCTTTTGAAAGCTACCAATCAAATCTATTTACGTTAGCTAGCTAGTACATGCAGTAGTAGCACTGCAAGCTAGCTTTGGTTCCAATTTGCTCCCAGCTCCCAAAACAAGCTGTGATGAATGGTGCCCCTGCTGGTGACTGGCCACTGCTCAACTAGCGATGCATAGCTCCGGCAGTTTGCAAGCCTAACAGCAGCATCATCGCCTGGCTTCTACTAGCTAGTATGCATGCTTTTGATGCTGCTGCACACTCTGCAAGATCTGGTCCAACTTTTGGTGACTCTTTTCCAATTCTGCTTCGAGATGGTGCACTCGCTTAGCCATTAGTCCCATGGACGTGGCCATCCCGACCATGGTCAAGTGGTGAGATACTGCCGACGTGTCGGTCATGAGCGCAAGGAATTCATCCATAGACAGGGAGCCAGACGCGTCGGTATCACAAGTCTGAAAGGTCCGAATGAGTTGCTTGACAACGTCCTCACGGGGCTCGCCGTTTCCATCCCCGTCCTCTTCCCCACCCGCGATAATATCCAGATACTCTTCATCTGTAGTGTCGCCATCATCGGACGAGGAACTACTGATATAGTGTGAATAGGAATGGTTGTCGTTTTCAGGGTCGTCTCCTCCTGTTTCTTGCTGCAATAGCGCGACATACTTTTGCCTTGCCTTGCGAGCGCACCTTTCTGCCTCAGCTTCAAAGCCCCCTGGTCAAATAAGTAAAAAGTAGCAAGGAAAAAGGAAAGGGTCAGCTTCTCGCCGGTTATGTTATTGCAATTTGGACACAGCATCAGCAGTCACCGACATGTCAACATCTGCACACAGAGAAGGGAGGGAAAGATAAGCGCTAGTTAGTTGTACGGCCATAATCTGTCCACGGCGACCAATGCTTGCCACTTACAGATGCTGGGATGGCAAACCTGTGAAGCAATCAAAGAAAGTGTCAGAGCAGGAAGTATCCAAGAGAGGCAGGCCCCGCCAGGGAATTGAAAGAGACACGCACATGGCCACGGAAAAGAATCCCGTAGTGAGTACGACCATCTTCGTATACCAGGGCAAGTCCCCTTCTGGTTGTCCTTGCCCTGTCAGCATCAAAACACTCAAATACATGGTGGCCATGATGGAGGAAAAGTCTTCGGCGTCGTGGGGATCTTGGGGTCGCAAATAGTACATGAGAATCGAGGTGATCAGTACCAGTAGAATGCAAATGTAGAGGGCCACAGAGAGGATCTCGCTATTGTAGTAGATGACTCTCCATACAGCATCCATACTGCGAGCATAGGATTCGGTTCGAAGGATCCGGACAAGTCGGAAGAATCGAATCCAGGTCAAATTGGGCAAAGAAAATCCAGTGGGCAACTCCAAAAAGAAGGGGAATGCAGCGGCTGCATCCATCAGTGCAGGTACAGTGCGCACGTAATGGAATCGGGCCTGCCATGGGGATTGATTAGCGTATTTGTGGCTTTCCGGGGCCACGGCAAGACGACATAGATATTCAATCATAAAGATGGCGGAGGCGAGCCCCTCTTCAGTGTAAAAAAGTTCGGGGTATGCAAGATTCCATTTTTCTTCAGTCGATGCTGCAAAGAACGCAACATCTACAACAATAATGAAGGAAATAAAGTTCTTGTACAAAATTGCATGAGGATGCGTCGAGCTGGGATGAAGTAACACATAGAGCCACGAGTGCTTATGATTTTTCTTCTTGTTGCCATTGGCTTTTTTGGATGGAGGATTGGCGGCCATGGTGGCTGTCACCTGGTCTTTGGAGGTCTGCTTCTCCTTACCGGTAGGAGCCGCCTCCTTCAAGGGTGTCATGGCATTCGCAGGGGTGACTTCGTCATGGAGGGTCTCAATGTCCATTCCCACTGCTGAAATTCTCGGGGCTGCATGGGGTTTGTTTTTGCTTCTCGTGCTGCTTCGCCGGAACAAGCTCTTCATGACGGGTTTCACTTCCTGCTCACTCTGCTGCATTGCTAGTAGTTGTCGACGAGAAACACCACGGCCAGAAGGTACTAGTTTGCGAGAAGTTCGTTTTCGGAGACGTCGAGATTCAGCAGTGGAGGGTTCCCGCGAAGGCAACAGCGGATCAGTTCCCATGGCAGCAGACGAGCGAGCGACAGAGCCGTACATTGTATTGTAGCTGGTGAGGTGGGAAACTCAATCTCTCTTCCAGGATGTACTCGTAAAGTGTCAGGCCCAGTGGGGAAAAAATTCTGATGAGGTACAATGCAGATTTTGCCAGGTACCGGTACCTTCTGTTACAACTTCCGAAAGGCAAGGAGATAGGTTGGGAAAAGATCGATCTGAGAAGAATTCAGCCATCACAATGCAGCCAGCTACCTTCATATGAATCCTGCCGTTACCGTTAACAGCTTTGGGGGGGGGCTCCGATACCAGTACTCTAGAGTACTATTAATAGCTCTAGAAGCCACAATCGGCGCAGATCTACCGGTACTAGCTAGCTCTGATGCTGGTGCAAGCAGAGATTTCTAGCTAACCATGGATGGGTGCCCGTGCGTGAGATCTAATAAGCTTCTACTGAAAGAGGCGACTCCCGGTTTCTCTACTGGTACTAGGCTAGCTAGCTAGAAACGGATGGCATTGCATAAATTAGGAGGTTTCTGAAAATTGTGCTTGTTTCTTTGCAACTGTTACGCCCAGAAAAAAGGTGGGTAGCTTCTCTTCATTGATGAAGGATTCCGTACCGGTACCGTTGACCGCTAGTTCTGCAAGAACGGTTAGACCTTGCACGATAGCTTGGCTACTGCAATTGACCTTGCTTGGTCTAGACTACACTGTACTACGTATCTACGACGTACTAGTATGCATACGGATAGCTATTTTCTAATAGCTACTATTTGTTGGTATTGGCGCAGCCATGAAGGCAAAGCGGACGATGATGTGTGGCGGTGCTCTGGTCCCCCGACTTGGCAGTCTTGAGTACTTACTGATCAGTCGCTACTTACGTCTGCGTAATTAGTGATAGTTCGCAGTAAACCCACCCGCCGCTCGGTGCTTAGAGCCAACATTTCTCCTCTACACTTTTTAGTGGCCGAAAATAAACGGCCAAATTTTGACCGACGACAACAAGATCGTTTCATTTCTTGGTCAACGTACCGAATTCAACAGTTTGGCTGTGCGAGACGGGACTTGTGCCGTTTGTTGTGGATGTACCTCTCCTTCCGCTGCGTTTTACTCTATCGCTTCCTTTCATTAACTGCCTCTGACGGAAGGTTGAGCTGTCAGACGTAACGCATTGAAGCTGGTCGGAACCCTCTTGAAGGCATCTTGGTGCATTGTTCCCCAAGAAGACCACAACAATGTTGCCCTCGTGGAGTCCCAACAATGACGCCGACTTTTTTGCTCGGTTTGCTGCTGATCCTTGGGGGGAATGTCCCCGGAAGGCTGCTGCTTGTCGACAACGGCGTCGTCAGGAGTTGGTATCCCTGATGGAAGATAATGGAGTGGGATCGGCAGAGCACCTTCGAGCTCTCAACCTTGAGCAGTTGGAAGAGATGTACAAAATGTCGGGATCATATGACGAGGAACACTTCCAATATACGGCCGATGGCTCTTCGTCCTCGTCCTTTCCATTTCATTCCATTTGGAAATCATTGTTGGAATCAAAAGAAATCTGGCAATCCTTCATGATGCCAGAGTGCCTCAACCTGTATCACCCTACAACATTCACGGCGGATCAACCACAAGAAGCTGAAGATGTCAGATCCAGTGACAGCAGTATGTTTGAATCGCCTTGGGGTAGTAATTTCTAAGGAAATGTCCGGATTTGGAACCAACATGAACCGCTCAGAGCAAGATTTCCCAAGCAACTACAAGAAGACACACCAAAACCACACCACGCCTCTTCCAACTTCCTCCTCCACCCGATTGATTCAATCGGTTTCTATGCTTTGCGTTGTACCCATGCACTGCTCGCCCACCCGCACACAGAGTGGCGGCCTTCACTTTGCCAGATGCGTCCGCTTCATTCTATTGACCAAGGCTTGCGCGTCGTGTTCAGTGAAGCCAACTGCTTGGTGGAAGGAATCCTTCACGAGAAAGAACTTTTGCCTTTTCTCGCCATTGGCAAAAACTCTGGCCCTCAAGAATGGGGTGTGCATGGATGGAAATTTCATCCTCAAGCTCGCATTGGCCTCCTTCCGACAAATGGTGCCGTTAGCTTTGACAAGTAGATTTGTGATGTGATTTTCTTCCTTCGAAGTGTTAAAGTCAGGGGTAGGAAACTCCCTGGAAGCATACGGGAGGTTTTCCCGAAGACAGTAGAAAGTGCCTTGAAGTTGCTTGTGTTCAAATGGCGCAATCTTCTCGGATTTGACTGCTTGGTCAATCCAGAGTTCAGCATGCTTGACGGTGGTACAATGTCCCGGGTAGGCTCTGTGAATGTGCTTCATCAAGCAGTCTTCTTCAACGTAGATATCATCATACTCCGCCATAACAATTAGTAACGATACAACGCGATTGGTTGCTTGTTGTTTCTCTTTTTCACCTTTCCATGGATAGCATGCGAGACATGTAATCTCTCGGCCACCACTAGTCTCTGAAGACGTCGTCACCTTGGGTGCAAAGATGATGTCGGATTCCAACAGTGTGGCACCGCAACAAAAGCAGTTGGCGTCCTCTTCAACGTCCTCCCAGTCCCCTTCGACACTATCGTCTTGTCCCACGACATCTCGTACGACTGTTTCGTCTTGAGACTGGACCTCCTTATCAATTGTGTCGTTGTCATCGACAACAGGTGGAGGGTCTCGTTTCTTTCGAAGCACGGTCAAACTCATAAATTGCCTTGGGGCACCAGAGCTTGTTACGTGGCCGGCATTAGCCGACACAGATCTAGTTTGTTGCCGTCTCCCCTGGAGTTGTCCCGGGCTGCTCCGTCGCCGAACGTCGATGGCTGATGTTACGTGTTTGTCTTTTCCATTTTGTAGAACGGCATTTTCAAAGTGGTTGGTCGCTGGTCCATTGCGCCTGTTTGTAGCATCGATAACTTCTTGTCGATGCCAGCACCAGGTGAGGATTCAACCGACGACGACGATGATGTCGTAGAGGTGGTTTGTGGTGAGGAAAGCTCCTGGGTTGGACTGCTACTGTTGCTGCCGCCCGATTGGCGGCGGCGGCGGTTTCGTTGTCGTCGTGGCTGCTTCTGGTTGGCTTCCTGAAGACTGATTTGCGACAAGCGGTTGTCATTGCTGCCGTCGTTGGTGACAGCGTTTCTCTTCGGTTTTCCCCCTCGATCAATGCGACTGTTTGTGGCCACGGTGTGATCCTCTTTCTTCTCATCTTCACCGCCGCAATTTGCCGCCACCGCCTTTCCATTTTTCTTTGCATCAGTATCCCCGTGTAACACTTCGACTTGGTCCTTTCCCCCAACAGGAACGCTAGAGACAGAGGAACGGGGAGTGGGACAACGTTGTTCTTCCTCGCCATTCTCTTCTGGCCGCCTTTTGCTGTTGTTGTTGGCAGCGCCTTGTAGAAATTCTGGATGCCGCCGACAGTCCACCAGGATTGCACTATTGCCCAGGGCGACTGGAAGGTCTTCGTCAACGGTTCTCTGCGCATCCTTTTGAGTTCTGAACATGAGGATCAACCAATCCTTCTTCAAATTTACCACATAGGGCCCCCTTGGCATAATAGACCCCGCAGGAAAGTTTCTCCTGTGAGCAAAGAGTGCAAAGGGCATTGTGGAGCTCACATGGGCCACTCGTTCTGGTATGGTTTCCAGCTGCAGTTTCAGTCCATGCGGCAGAGTGTCGGCTGGTTCCAGTAATTTTGGCCGGGTCAAAGAAGATCCATTGGTGGGTGGCAAACTGAGCGTTGGAACTGCGGCATTCTTGTCATCATCCAGTTCGTTCGACGACGAGTGTTCGAGTACAATGCCCATTTCAATGGCTCGACCGAGTGCGGCAATCAATCGCTTTTTTGGGAATCGATCGGCATTTCTCAATCGCAGCATGCTGAGGACATGATCCTTTCGTACCGAAAAGGATGGGCTTTTGGAGTACCTCTTGATCAATGCTTTGAGATATCCAACATCTTGTTCCCACGTTTCACGATTGGTCGGATCCGAATAATCAATGTCCTCGGCGTCATGGCGATGATGATGATTGTTGTTGTTGTCGCTGTTGTCGATGGAATTATTGTTGTCGTCCTCGTTGCTGCTGGAAGCGCTTGTTTGTTTGGTGGGTGAGTTATTACTATAATAGGGATAGTCAAATTCTTCCTGTGTCAAGAGGGACATGAGATCATCCGCTTCATTGTCGTCGTCATCGTCGTAGTCGTCATCCTGTTGATTGTCTCCCGCTCCTGACGAGGACGACGACGACAAGTCTTTATGATCGTTCGCAGCATTACTTTTAGCCTTGAACCATTCTTTGAGGTTGACGGATTCAAATGCCGATGCACTTGGAGTAGGAGTGTAGACTTGCTTGTTGGTGCCATCATCATCTTGATGGGATGTTTCCTTTTTAGCGGGGATGGAGTCTGGCGGTGATGATTTCTCGTGAGTAAACTGAGTGTCAGTTTGTGTCTGATGCGCCTGGCTCTGTGAGTTGTCGTTGGTGGCGGTTTTGGAAGATGTATCCGAGTTTCTGTTTAGTGGTGGTGGTGGTTGTTGTGGCTGATTTTGCTCAAAGGACACAACCTTTTCGATTGGAATTTTCGTGTCGAGTGGATTAGAACTGGAACGAGTGGTCTTTGTCAGCCAAAATGTATTTTTCGGCATGTCTTGCACCTGTTTGGAAGGAACCCGCGTGGTGACAGTCATGGTCCGGCAGTGGGGTCGTCGTTGTAGCGTCGCCAAAAGATGAGCGTATCGGTCGGCCTCACTGGTGACGAAACATACTACAGCACCGTCCGGATGGTTGTGAGAAAACTCCATGGCGTCTACAGCAATGGTGACTTCCTGGCTGCTGTTGTCACTGGTTTCGACATGTTGACAGCCCAACAATTGTAGTGTCAATTGTTGTTGCCGTGGATTGGAGAGAGTTCCATAGCAGCCAAACCGTTGGAGACTTCCGTAAGGTTTCAGTAAAGATTGGAGCTCCCGAATGGTTTCCGTACACAAGATGCCATTGTCGTCCTTCTCTCCAACAAACAGAGGCACTTGTTCCAGATCCCAGAAAACAGCCAGGGGTGCCTGCGATCGCGCAATTTCGTCTTGTGCCCTTCGAACAATATCCAAGGCGGCTAGCAGAGGAATGTCGCAGACCGTCATGAGATCATTGACCACCAAATCAGCCGTCCGATCTCGAAACGTGTCCCACGAAGCACCCAAAGCGAGCAACTGGGTCGCCCATTGCTCCGTCACGGCGCCATGAGGATTTTCCGCCTGTTGCCGTCTCAGCCAATCGGAAAATGGCTCGGGTGACGACATTGCCACTGTCTCTTATTAGAGATGTGGAGTAGTCTAGTAGTACAGTACAATGGTCTTCTTTATCGATAGCTTGTTCTCTCTCTCTCACACACACTCTCTCTCTTTCCTTCTCTCTTGATCTCTGGTCAATCGAGAACCATGCAACAGCCCGCCAATAATGCAAGGAAACTTCAAACAGATTTCGCACTCGAGAGGTTTTGGAGAGAAAGAAAGGAAGTCCCGCTTGGCTAGCTGGGCCTTGAAACAAACGTATGACGTCACAAGGCCTTAACCTTGGTGTTGCTTCAGAGTCGAGTCGATGTTAGAAAGGTATTTTCGTATGACGGACAGACGACTCGGGATCCACAATCACGGTTCGTGATTGGGGATGTGTGACTCAAATCAGATGGTTATCCGATCATCATCAGATGGCCAGGTGTACAAGGAAAAAAAGAGAGAGATAGCCGTTTTGCTTTATATCGTGGTGTGTTTCGCTGTCGGAATATGCCCTGCTCCCTGTTTCGCAGGACAGATAGGTAATCGTCTGGTTCTTGTTGTATGTGATTGATTCTTCTTTAGTCAGTCGTGGTTGTTCTTCTTGGAGAGATTTAAGGGCGTCCATCGCTTCATAAAGTTAATTGCTCCAAGCTTCTCCATCGTCATCCACGTCATCTCCGCTTTCAAAATCGTCCAAGAAGCGTCCAATTCTTTGCCTTCATATTTCGATGCTTCTTCTACTCCTCCTGTTTCATCGTCTTGACAACTCTACTCCTCGGCTCTGGCATGCATATTTCATCTGCTCATCGTCTTGAATGCCATCTCTTACCGTTGTTTCTTGTGCTGTGTTCGCTCCTTCTACATTTCGTTGTTCCTTTTGAGTTTTAGCAATCCGATTTCCTGTGCCCAATCTTTCCACAGTGGAAGCACGTTCCCGCTGAACTTTATTCTTTCCTTGAAATCCGCTACTGCTCCATTGTTCCTGTTGAATACCTTTGACTTTCCTTGTACCTTTTTCCGTACTTCTTCCGTTCGAGCCTTTCTTGTCTGGGCGTCTTGTTGCTTGTGTCCATCTTCCCACAGTCCCTGATCTGCCCTTGAACTGTTTTCCTCCAATCATGAAAGCTGTTTCGCCATTGTGTTCTGTCGACTTGTTCCGTGCCTTTAACCTCATCGTAGATTTCGCAAAAGTCATCCACCACACCCTTTACCGTTATTCAATGTCCTGTTGTCTTGATCTTCTCAGAACATTCTTCTTCACTTCATGTACACTCCGGTTTCCTTCCTTCTTCGTGCATCTCCTCGAGAAGGTCCTTGATGTACTCTTCGTCCGATATCTTGAACCATCCTTCGCTAGCTTCTTGCTTTTCACGTCGAGTCCAATCTCGAACTTCTTTGGTTTTCCTTGATGTCCATCTTATCGCGTAGTATTCCGTTTGTCGAGCTGCTACCTCACACTGTCTTCAGCATTCGTAGAGTCCAGCATGGACTCCCACATGCCCTTGAATTTCCCAGCAGCATGTCAGTCGTTTGGTGTGAGCCAGTAGGTCGAAGGCGACTTGCCCCTCGATGGTCTCCACATTGATCAGTCCAGCAGTATTCCAGCAGCCTTGCTGTTCTTCTCTGCAGACTTTCGACCTTTTCTACTTCGTCGTCCGACAACTTGCCCGTACCTGTAGGGTTTCCCAGTTGTCCGGTTTGATCTCCGTAGAGTCCTTCATTAGTTCTACGTACCCGTACTTTGATAAATGGGCCATCATCTTGACCTTGTAGACCTGAACTTCTCATCTTTCCATCGAAGATGGGATACTTGCTCGACGATGATACCTCTACCTCCGTAGACATCTTTACTTACTTCTCAATTCTTCTCTTTTCTGTTTGACAACCTGGATCCAAGCTCACTCTTCCTGATAGCTATCGTTTTAAAAGTGTTGAAAAGGTGTGAACTTGAACGCAAATTTCTCTAATTTAATCAATCTTCCAGCTCTACTGTTCTATAGACTGGCTATTCGTTTCGTTTTCTCTTTCTCTCTCGTTCAGATTGTGAGCTCTACAACTGAGCTCCGATATGCATACATATACCAGGATTCTTTCGATCCTCTGTTTCTCGCAGTTTCATCTGCAGATAGATCTCGTCGATCTATCTTCCTGAAGTGCATGTTTGGCCCTGGAGGGCTTTCCACTTTACTAAACCTTGGACCTTCATCCGTCCATTCTATTTGTTCCATCCGTCGCTCCTTGCATTCTCTCTTCGACCTAACTCCTAACCTTTGTAGTTGCATCATCTAGACGACCATTGTTCTCGT